TTAAACTGAGCTAATAAATGAATGTAGCCGGGTAATAAAAAGCCAGAGAACAACTGAGATAATCCATCCACAATACGAGGTTAGTCATTCATATACTGCTGCATGGGCTGGGCTGTAGTTACATCCTAAGGTTTTAAAAACTGAGCTTAAATAAATGATTAGCGGTAATAAAAGCCGAGGGAGGTCAACAGTGATCACTGACTGTTTTAGGAGCTTTTTGAGATCAAATAGAAGAAAATACATAACATTAAACATGTTAACAACACAAAAGCCATATTAAACGCAGACTACTTTAGACCCGGAAGTAGGATTCGTCGCGTCATCACTGAACAACCGGATTGGTTGTCCTAAAAGTCGCTAGAAGTCGCTAAATGACGTCATCGCCTAATTTGCATAATTGGTCATGCTAATCTAATTGTAACCTATGTTGTTGGAGAGAGAAATAACATCGTGGAAGAGACATAAAGTGAGTAAAAAACGTCCTAAATGCATTTAGAGTTTATTTAGAACTACAAATTAAATTTCTTTTAGCAATTATTGTTTTTAATGTCACAATTCCAACCCTGCTCCTTTACCCGGGCTTGGACCGGCAAAAGTGACCCGAAATAGGCACTCTGGTGGAGTTACTTTGTGTGTGTGTGTTTATAAGTAGTTTTAAACCTTGTGATCCACAAAACAGCATAAGAGTAAAAGAAGAACTGACTGCGTTACAGCACCCGCTGCTTGTTGAGAGTAAAAGTGATACGCGCTTTCACGTCTTTTTTTAGCGACTTTTTTTTTAGAGAACAAGTCGCTAAGGGGTCTGAAAACTCGCTAAATATAGCGACAAAGTCGCTAAGTTGGCAACACTGTGCTGCATGGGCTGGGCTGTAGTTACATCCTAAGGTTTTAAAAACTGAGCTTAAATAAATGATTAGCGGTAATAAAGGCCGAGGGAGGTCAACAGTGATCACTGACTGTTTTGGGAGCTTTTTGAGATTAAATAGAAGAAAATATATAACATTAAACATGTTAACAACACAAAAGCCATATTAAACGCAGACTACTTTAGGCCCGGAAGTAGGATTCGTCACGTCATCACTTAACAATCGGATGCCGACTCATTTAGATGTTTTCTAGCAACATATAATCTGGCCTTCGTGTTCATGAGTGGAACCAGTGATTTGTTGTAACAACAGACGTAAATTGACTAAGCAGGCTGTCATGAGAGCGAGCAACCTCCATAAATGCAACAAGTCAAGGAATATGCTTTGTTTTGTATCACATCTAACATAGCAACTATTGAACAATCTGTACATGTTGTCACATTCAGTCTGACTCTTTTTAAGTCAACATATTTCCCAAAATGATAATTTTGCAATCCATTTATGTAGCTTTTAGAGACTCATCCAGAGTCTGTTGGCTGTTCTTCCTGTAGCCATTGCATCCAACATCTGACAGTAAAAAGCTTTATGAATCAAAAAAAGGGAAGAAAAGGGTGACCAGATGTCCACATTGCATTACATCTAAGCCAAAAGTTTCTTCCCTCTTTCTTTTTTGTCTGCAGGCATCCACAGACAGATGTAGCATTGGCAAAATGTTTAAGCAGTCATATTTGTTCCGTAAAATGTTTTAGTTATTTATTTGATTTTAAATATTTCTCTTAAAACATCTGAGGAGTTGTGTTCAACACCTGTGAAGTGAACCAAGAGACTGATAATTAACAGTCAAACCCTAACATGAGGTTATAAGGTTAATAACTCTTGAAATACTGAAATCTGCTTTTATGAGATTGTTAGGCAGATAAAGTTGTGTGACTTTTGTGTGCATGCATGAGACAAAGATAACCTTTCTGTCCCACGGTGTGACACATTCTCAAGGTTACCAGCAGCTACCCTTGAAAGTGAGGGAAATGACTCAAGGTCTTCAAAGTAAAAGGGTAATCTGGACTTTGAGGAGCAACATGTCCAACCCCCACCCATGTCCCCCCGTCCCCAAACTGGGTCATGAGCGGCATTGAGCTAGAACTTAACCCTTCTAGCGCAGACTGTGAATGCCTGCTAATTTCTTCTTGTGCAAAAAACCAAAGAAATACCAAGAAACCAAAACACTGACAAAGAGATATCAGACAAGCCAAACGCCAGGCAGAAGTAACTGCAAAAATACACACGGACAACACACTAACTTCTTTTATCTCCAGCATGAAGTCAAACAGGAAAAACGCAGTTTGTTTGCAGCACGTTGCTTAAAATGAGCCAAAGTGCTCCGTTACATATGTATGGCAGTCAGATGTTCTCCCTGCTGGCTGAGGTAGAGATTCATGCGGCCCTCATAAATTTACACTAATTAAAAAAAATCCTGTGTTTAATTGATAAGTAAGACGTGATGTTAGGGTTCCTGAAAAAGAAAGTATGGAAGAAGATAATAAAACAGTAGAGACGATAAAAGATTCACTACAGAATTCACTGCTACTTGTGATGCATTTTTTTCTTAAACTGCATAGTTTGCACATCTCTGTGTTTCTCATTTCCTGGACGCTAACCTTAACTTTTACATGCTTCACCTCATCCCTAATGATACACACACTCACACGAGCAGCATTAATAGCTCTTCTCAAGCATCCCTGATCTCCTCACTCCCTGCACTCCACTCCAAATATAGCTGCTTCTAACTTGTCCTCCACACAGTTCCAAATGCTGCATAAAATAATAACTGAAGGAAATTTACACTTAATAAAAATACTCTCAATTTCAAGGTGTTATGGTCTACTTGGACAAAGGGACTCCTTAAGGTAACTTGAACCATGGCACCCTAGGGCACAGGGGCAGCAAAACCATGCAATAGAAAGCAGATGTATACACACACATACACACATATAGATACATGCATGCACACACACTTCCACATAAACCATAAATCACAAACAGATGTTTAAATTTACACCATGTCGGGATCCTCAGCCTTTTCTCATATGGATAAAACGCACAGCTCTTTAAGGAAGTATGTTATAATCAGTGTTGGGAAGGTTACTTTTAAAATGTATTCCATTATAGATTACAGAATACATGCCCCAAAATGTATTCTGTAACGTATTCCGTTACGTTACTCAATGACAGTAACGTATTCTGAATACTTTGGATTACTTAATATATTATCATGCTTTTTACAACAACGTGAATGTACTATTGCTGTGTGATTTATTACTATTACTGAAGGTCCGCGACTCCGAACTGTAGTAAAGGGACCTCTGACTAATACGGCGGGGTCCCTGTCGGCTCGTAGCCGAAAAATAGCTTTACTTTGTTGTGTGGGTCAACTTTTCTTGCGAGAGACAGAGAGAGGCGTTGAAAGGCTGCTCCAACGGAACTTATTGTTTTCGGAGGAAAACACGAACACGGTGTACAGTCGAGTCTTAATAGCTTGGCTGCAGTGGTTATTATTATATTTACATGCTTCCAGCTCCCGTTTTTCCTCGATGACAACTCGTACCTTTCCACTCCCCTTTTTCTCCCTCCTCGCGCTCACAGACCCATAACGTGTATGGCAGTCCATTCTCCCTGCAACACGGACTACACTGCCCATGATGCTACATTCTTTAGAGCTATGCTTGTAGCATTCTGCCTGTTAGCTTAGCACAACAACAACAACAACGAAAAGGCGCTCTCTCACCCAGGAAACACACAGTCGCAGAGAGAGAGAGAGAGCGTCGCCCTGTAACCATGGCAACCGTAACGCTGCCGCCTGGAACAACAGAACGTAGCTGTCAAACAAAACCCAAACAGTCCTGACCCGCGACAATATGAAACAGGAAAGTACCGCAGTGTAATCCATTTATTTCAACAAAGTAACTGTATTCTGAATACCACCTTTTTAAACGGTAACTGTAACGGAATACAGTTACTCATATTTTGTATTTTAAATACGTAACGGCGGTACATGTATTCCGTTACTCCCCAACACTGGTTATAATTACGGGCTTGAGCAAAAATAGAAGAAAAAAGAAAGAAAGAAAAAGAACCAACAAAAAACATTTAACTTCTTAACATCTTGGCATAATTTTTTTCCAACCAGTGTTAAATCTTTTTGAGTTACACTGAGAACAGAGGCGTTGAATCTGCACTGAACGGTGTCCTGGTGACTCAGCATAGCTGCCTGCATCTTGGACTCCAGCTGCAACATCTGGAGTCCAACACTGTGCTTTGGCCCATAAACCTGCGGGGAAATTGTAACACTAAAAGAAAGAATATGTCTCCAAAAGAAAGTTATATGTCTTATAAGAACAACCAGGAGTTTTTGCCACATCATAATTCATCTGAAGTCTTTGAGTTGGTTATTTTTTTCACATTGCTAATAAATCACATCTTTCAAATAGGCCTATATTTGATTTAGTGGAATTAATGCAGTATGTGTGCTTTTGATATGTGAGGAAAGAGAGCCCTCTAGTGTAAGTGATAGGAAATTTAAGGATGTGTTCAGGAAGCTGTTGAAGACAATCCAAGAGAAAGGTGAGAAAGAGGAAAGCAGAATCACAACTTCCAGCTCAAACTATGCTCTGGTCAGCTGATAACACTTTTAAAATAAACATGTAAAGCAGACAGTGTTAAACAATTGCACAACCTAGGTTAAAAAACATTACGAGTTTAGAATGAAGAAAGTGAAAACGTTCAAAAAACATCAGTCACAGTGTTGTATTGTACATTCAGTCCCCTTGAGACTTACGCAGACATGGTAATGTACATTTACTCACAAACAGGACAGTAGCTGGCAGGGACAAAAGACAATGACTCATTAATGAGGAAATTGAACAAGAGACTCCCAGTGAGTCACACTTCTACGATGACATTATACCTTTTGTCAGTGGTTTCATAAATAATCGTGTAATGATCCTACTGTAAACAACAGACAACTGTTGATCTGACTGTCTCATTGCATCACATCATAAAAAACTGTGATACAGTCTGAATAATAGTGATAGTAACAATAATAATAATCTAGGATTATGATGAATAATGTGTGACATTATTTGTATCTAGTTTAAGAGCACTTCATTAAGCAAGGTGAAATTTCAAAACACTTACTATTTAATCTTATTAAAGCCATTGTCAGTACTTAAAAATACTCACATGAATCCTTAAAATATAATGAGTGTAAATGACCCTAAAAGAAAGGAGATTTAAAAAATATGCTGAACTTGTGTTTTGTTTTGTTTTGTTTTGGGG